GTGACAGTAATTTCTGTTGTAAAAGAAGTCTTAAAATACATAAAATTAAGACATTATACCCCATCCATCTGTTACAGTGTACCCAGGCAGCATGTAAAATTTAATTATGGTTTTCTTAAACTCTTTTTAGCTGTTGCTACTCTCTGAGTACTGTTTTGTGTCCACAATGACCAGAGCAGAAACAGTGTGTAGACAGTCGGTCTGCTGTGCGGCGTAGGCAGGCAGAGAGGGGGATTGGAGAGGCATTTCTGCCAAGAGGATTAGGAACCAGCTGCTGGATGGACACAGACAAGTAGCACCCATTGCCCATCACAGCTCTGCAGCGAGCCAGAGAGACCCTCTTCTCGCTGTTTCATTTTGCTCGTTGCCTTTTTCATGATTCCGTGCAGTCTCTCCCTCTCTCGCCTGCTCTCTCTGTCACTCTCTCTTCCTCTGTGGTATTTCCTTAATGCATGTCTATGGTTGTCACAGGGATTTGTCCCTGTCTGTCACAGCATGCTCTACTCTAATAATCCATTTTAGGGTTTTTGGAAATCTTTTTTTTTTTTTTTTCTCCCACTCTCTCTGTCCGTGGCCTGAAACGGCTGCCTGAAAGACAAGTATACAGACGCGGCCCTCTTGACAAGTGACACCAGAGAAGAGCTGGCTTCCTCTAAATCAGATGTGATGAGGAAATGCTCTTTTGCCCTTTGTGTGATTTGTGGATAAAATGTGCATGATGTAACCGGATGTACTACATCTTCTTAGCAAGTGAGAAGCATCAAAACAAAACAAAAAGAGGCGAAATTATTGTTCCGACTCTCAAGCTGTGTAGAGTTTGGCTCGATGATGACATGTGCATCATCATTTGTTTCAAAGTTAAAGCTGCAGCTGATGATTATTTGAGCTGTTGATTATCTGCTGATTGTTTTCTCAGTTAATTGATTAATCTTTTTGACCAGATGTCTTCAGTGGTTTTCAAGCCACAGACCCCTTAGCTCAAAGATACACAGACCAGGGTCCGCTACATGTATTATATGTGAGATACTGCTCTGAATATTTTCAGGTCTTCTCTCGTTTGCACTTGCCTGTCGCTGCTAAGTCAGCAGTAGTTGTAGCATGTCGAGGTGTGTTAGCCTCACCCTCTGCTATTTTGCTGGTGGTCTCTGAGGTGGACCATGTGTCAGAGTCTCTTGCTCAAAAAGTTGCAAAACAATCCATAGTGGCTCATAAGAATGTCTATACACTTGGAATAATAATACAGTTATCTGACTGATATATTTCAATAGTAAGTAACTGTTGGAGAACTAGTTCACCTCGCCATTATGTTTAAATACCACACAGTGATTTAGCGTTAGCTAGCTCACAAGATTGCACAAGGATTCATGCGCAACAGTTGGCCTATCATCAATATTGTGTGCTGTAATTAAATATGATATATTAGGGATGCACAGTAATACCGGCGCATCATCGGTTTTGGCCAATATCGGCTTTAAAATGAATCAGAATCTGTTGACATGCTTTTTCTTAATTGTTCTGAATTAATAGTACATACATTGAAAATCATTGTATTACATGTCTCCATTTGCTGGTGGGCCGTCATGATAAGAGCATGCGTGCATAACATAATGTTGATTTCACTACAGAAGAGGCTGATGATCACTAAAATTAGATGGGAAAAAAGTGGATATATCAATATTGGTATTGGTATTGGTCAAATGAGTTGTTCCATATCGGCATATCAGATATCAGCAAAAAAATCTAATATCGTGTGTGTGTGTGTATATATATATATATATATATATATATATA